AGAAGGGACCATTCCCTGGAGAAGGATGTCATGCTTGGTAGGGTGGAGGGTCGACAAAAGAGAGGGAGGCCTTCAACGAGATGGACTGACACGGTGGTTGCGATGACGGGCTCAAGTATAGCAGGGATTGTGGGGCTGGCGCGGGAACGGGCAGTGTTTCATTCTGCTATGAGTCGGAAACGAATCCAACGACTCCACGGCACTTAACAACAACAACAACAAGGGAGAAAGTTACAACAGTACTCCAAGTACAATCAGAGAGTCTTGGAGAAAGGATAGGTTGATAGGTGGAGGAAAGATATCTGATAACCTGGACCCAAGAACATTTCCTTTACAGGAAAATTGAATAAGGAGCTAGTTAGGTCTGAGCTTTTAATGGCACCATGAAATCATGCAATGGGTCCTTTGGATAAAGCATAACTACTGTAATAATTAGGTTATGATTATAATAATTTGCAATATTCCATAAAGGAAGCGCTTGCCTTCTGGAAATGTAACCCAGTACAAAAGGCTTGAACCACCCACTGTCTGGGTGGAGGGGGATGTGTCCACTCCCTTTGCTGTTCTATTGTGTCTTTATTCCTAAGTGCCATTGACTTGGCCCCAACTCATGGTGACCCCATGCTCAACAGAATGAAACACTGCCCATTCTGCATCATTCCCGGGACCCACTGTGGACCGGACTGAGGTGACCCATAAGGCTCTCACTGGTGGATTATCATAAGGAGATTGCCATGCCGTTCTTCTACTCCATCTCCGTCTGGAAGCTCCACTAAACCTGTTCAGCCTCACAGCTGCACACAAAACTCCAGACAGATGGGTGGTGGCTGGGAATCGAACCTGGGTCTGCCATATGGAAGGCAAGAATTCTGCCCTCAACCAACACTGCTTTCCAAGACCCTGCCGCTGTCCAAATAGTTCTGACTCACAGCGCCCCTAGAGGACAGAGTGGAACTGCACCACAGTGTCTCCAAGGCTGTCAGTCTTCATGGAAGCAAAGCCCAAACCACACCCACTGCCGTGGAGTCCATTCTGACCCACAGCGCCCCTAGAGGACAGAGTGGAACTGCACCATACTGTTTCCAAGGCT